ATATACCTGCTCTTGCTTGTCTAGCTCTATATATATATATGTGTGTACTCCTGCATGTGAACTGGCCTTGTGGCCTTGTCGTTGTGCTCGGACTGTGTGGTGACTTTGTTATCCACCCTGAGCTTGCTCTGTTTTGTTTGACTGGTCTTGTGACCCCTTGTTCTCCCCCACTTTGGCTATGGGGGTGTGTCAGAACGTTATATAGCTTATGCTGTTGTGTAGGCTATAGTGGGGTATCCCATAGGGGGTAAAACCCAATTAGGGTTTCCTATATGTACTCACTTCATTCATAGTTCATTCATTCTTGTTCTATTCTTCTCAATAGCCCCCGTGGCAACACCTTGTATACTCGTCATTCGCCCGCGTTGCCACATCGTGCTCGAACGTGCCACGATGCTGGACACGTGGCTACCACTGTGTGCACGAATTGTGAGGTGTCTTCGTTGTGCAACTTCATGCAGTGGCGAAGCGCTCGCCCGTTTCGCCAGCTGTTCGGACGTGCTGCAAATCACACACGCTCGCATGAACGTGCGCACGCACGTTCCCGCCTCCGACTCGAGTCAAGTTCATATTTCAAACTCGAACTTTTGCAGAGCCCATACAATGCTTGGTTCGCAAAGCACCCTTCGCGAAATTAGTGAATAAGATAACCACCCAAAGTTCGAACTTTATTTTGAACTTCTAAACAGACCACACGCGCCCTTAGGGTTTGTTTTGTTTCTTTCGTTGGGCAGCAGTGGACCATCAATGACGCGACCGTTTTTTTTTAGGGCGTTGTTCAGTTGCCCCATTCGAGCTCATGCGCGCATCGTGCGTCTTCTCGGCGTTGCATCATGCGCGCATCATGCGTCTTCTCGGCGTTGCATCATGCGCGCATCAAGGGCTCGTCAGATTGCCAGGACGATAAATTTCTCGGAAAGCGGCAGCATGTAAATTTGTGATTGCCAAAAAGACCGTTCTGCAGGCTTTCGGGCTTGGTATGCCTCGGCAGCAAAGCGCTTATCGCGAACCTTGATAACCTCCCGGCTGGTTATCAAAGAAAACTCGTGGAAAATCTGAAACAAATTGCAATGTACATTGATGCGGGCTAATGTGCCCGCATAACGCAGCCCTGGATGTGATGTGATGTGAAGACACACCACTCAACCCCACCACCATAGAAAATGGCGTACGCGTTTTCAGGAGTATGCAGCACCAGGGCCCGTGCTAGGATTTGGGGCACCCTGGGCCCTCAGGGCACTTTTCTAGAATCTAAAAAAATGCTCTGATTTGTCAAGGAAAATTTTCACAGCCTTCATGTATGTTCAGGGCTTTTGCAGAAATTAATCCTGACCTGTCAGGGCAAAAAAACTAGTGTTCAGGGTTCAAATTGTAGCACAGACCAGACTAGACTAGACCAGACCAGAGACTCTGTTGAGCACAGCAGAGCAGAGCAGAGCAGTGGCAGCGCACATGTAGTTGGTGTTTTACTACTCCATTACCTCCTACACCACCTCTTAGCCCTCCTCCTCCTCATCATCATCATCGCTGCTGCTACTAAACCCACTGTCGCTGCTGCTGCCGCTGCCATGTTCAATATCTGCTTGTTGTCCGTCCTCCAAGACGTTCCCCTTCCCCGCCTTCCTCTGCTTCTCCCTTCTCTTGATAGGCCTCCTCTTCTTGCTACTGCGCCACAAATCCACAACTTTACCCCATTCCATGTCATACGCAACCAGGCTCAGGCACATCAGGTCACTGAGCCTGGCATCACAGAGGCTGGTCCTCTGCCAGGACTTAATTATGTTCTGGCGGCTAAAGCCGCGCTCACACTCGACGGTGCTGAGCGGCAGGACAGCCACCGCTGTCCAGAGGCGGACGAGGTTGGGGTAGCTCCGCTCCCAGTCTTTCGTTCGCAGCATGGCTGCCAGCCCGCATTGAAATGTGCGCTCGCCTTTGGGAGCGCCAGCCAGAACAGGGACAAATGTCCTCAGTTCCTTCTTGGCAGCACGTTTGTCCACACCTGCCACGCATTACACACAGGACACGAACGAGGGCGGATTCTGGTTATACACAGGACAGGGATGGATCATGAAATTTTCAGGTTATACACAGTGCAGGGGCAGAACAAGTCAGATTGCTGGATATAGACAGAGCAGTGATTGATCAAGTCAGATTGCTGGATATACATAGAGAAGTGACAGAACTTGGCAGACGTGGGGACAGAGGACAGAATGGGTAAGACAATCTATGTGTGCTTACCCGGGAGAATGTCTGCTCGTTCGCGGGCATGGAACAAGTCGACGAGTGTCTCGAATTGCTCGCGGCACTCCTCAGCGCGTCCCTCCTTGTCTCCAGGGTACGTGTCTGGCATAAACAGCCGGACACCGTTCAGGCTTTCGAGATCCCCCAGCCTCTTTTGGAGGTGGGTGAGCGTTGAATTGGCGTGGCGGTGGCAGATGTCGAGGCACGACTGCAGGTCATCAGCTGTCTTGTTGTAGCCCGTCAATGCCTCCTCGTGCAGCTCAAAGCTATGTTCCCGCTTCTCCCCCTCCTTGTCCACACCTGCCACAGTGACTTTCGGAGACTTACTGAGCCTGGCTAGGAAGCCTCCGAGGTGTAGCTGTGGGCCGCCACCGAAGTCATCGCCGCACTCGATGTAGCGCGTTCGGATGGTTATCAGTGTGCGGCGCACGGTCGACTGCACCGATGTCATGTCGACCTGCCACATGACAAGGTTTGGATTTAACAAAGACCGCACAACCAACACAGACAAGGATCTCGGGCTTACAAAGGCTACTCACCTCCCGCCTCTGAAACTCAATGTTGAGGGTGTTGAGGAGGTTGAGCATGTCGGCGAGGTAGTAAAGGTACACATTGAACTTCACTGAAGTCACAATGTGGTACGACTCGTCGTCCCAATCCCACAGGAGCACGATGACGGCAGGGAGAACACGTACCAAGCGCGTGATGGCATCGCCGCGGCTCAGCCAACGAACTGAGTGAATTCCCTGCAGTTCAAGGTTAGTCTTGCAGAACACCTCCTGCAGCTCTTGAAACTCATTGTGGGAGGGATGCGACCTTCCCAGGTATTCCGCGAGTTCCTTCAGGACATGGGCGATTAGGCCCAGCTCAAAGACTGCAGTGGCGGCGTCCTTGGCTGCCGGGGCCTCTCTGCACGACACGGTGTGGGTACGAGAGAAGGGGAGGTTTGGTTTGAAGAGGGAGGAGTGGCATCAACTGTTTTTGCGGGCCGTTGCTGTCCTTTCACGAGGAGAATATGGAGCAGATCAAGGTCAAGTCTGGAGCAGGGAGGGAGGAAGGGGGGGAGACAGGAAAGTAGGGGCGAAACAGAAAGGGTGAGGAATGGCATGAGCTTTGGATCATATGAGCACCTGCCTGCCTTCCACTTTCAGCGCAACGTGATGGGCAGGTAGAAACAACACACGCAGGCAATCAGTATTACTCACCGATGTGCAACGCAATGGCTGGAGAAGAGGTGCGGGTCCCTTACAGGCAGCCGAGCCACCAGGCCGTTTGTGCTACCCATCATCGCACCTGCGCCATCCGTGCTAATCCCGGCCACCCTGCTCATGTCGATTCCAAGAGAGTCAAGTAGGGTCAGCAGCAGGGAAAGCAACGAAGCGCCATCGCATTTTTCCACCGTCAGTAGACTAATGAACTCAGTGACTACACGAGAGTCGCGGAGAAACGTGGCAAACACGATCTGGTGTTTGCCATGCACACTATCTGTACTCTCGTCACAGGTAACTCCGATGAATGGACTAGACTGCAGCCAGAATTGCTGACGAGCACGGAGATATGCTGCAGTGCTTGCGATGAGCTCGGCAAACCCGTATCTGCATCAAACGCAAAAAAGGTACTTAGGGTCAACAACATTGATCAGGTTGTGCACAACCTCCGTACAAAGGTTCTCGGGTATAGCAGCATTTGTTGAACAACGGCTCACCTGGTGTAATAAGCACCGTAGCCATTCTTCGGGAAGCCTGGTGTCTGTCGATCTGCAAGGTGCCGAAAGAATTGAACCCACATTTCAATCGGTGCATCACATTTGCAGACGAACAGCAAGGTCTCCAGCAGAGCGATGACCCTTACGCGCTGGATGTCTCCGGCCTTTGGACAGTCGACGATGCGCTGCTGGTTCTCAGCCGCCTGCTCCGCATGGGCCTATCTCTTGACGGACCGTTTGTGCTTCCTGGAGCTTTGATGCGTGCGGAACGCCTGGGTTTGGACGTCGACGGCTCCTTCGCCAGTAGCGCCGTAGTTCGTGCCGTGTCCTGCGTGCTTGATACACAAACTGCACGTCACTGATGGGAAACCGAACGAAGTTTGACAAAGCACGAGCCACGGAAAATAAGTTGACCATTCCTGTTTGTACTTCATAAGCGCCTCCTGGTATTTATCCTCTGCCTCACCGCGAAGTTCCTCAGTAGATGAAGATGCTGCAGGAACGGCCGATGGTCCTGGAAGAGCTGGCTCTAAGCGGATACGTACGGTGGGTTCCGTAGGACTTTCGCGAGAGAACGACAAGTGAGACTGTTTGTGCTTGGTCGCTCTTAATATGTAAAATTTTTAAAGTTAAACTTCTAAAAATTTGAAGATTGTGATTCGACTAGAAGAGGAGTTTGCTGTAAAGGAGACAAACTCCTTTTCATTCCAGCAGGTCTCTCAGACCTGCCACCTAGTCTCATTTGCATTTTCAGATCTCCAATTTGCTTCCCTCCCACCCAATCCCCTTTTTGTAGTTACATAGAGTTTATGATACCCTATTTGAATACTCATTGTTATTGCTCATTTGAGTGTGCTGTACAAAAACCTCACTACCACTCCCCCTCGGCCTTAAGAGGTGCCTCACAAGCCCTGCCTTGCCTTCACACCCGTCTCTTGTACCACACTACCTCACTACCACTCCCCCTCAGCCCCCTCAAAGCCCCCAGCGTCCCCCCACGAGGCAGTGATTCGCTAACCCTCGCCCTCCCCTACCACCCACGACACCTCCCCTTTCACCATTCTCTCCTGTACAGTTCCCCCTCCACTTTCTCGAAGCTCCCATTCGCTCCCCAAGAGGAAGTGATGCGCTTCACCTCGCCCTCCCCCACCACCCACGACACCGAAAACACGACTGGCCTGCCAGCCACCAGCTGTAGCGAGCGTGGGGCGCACACCACCACCCCGTGCGGCAGGGCAAACACGGCATAACGATCTTCGTCTCCCTCCGGAACTCGCCCCATAAAGCCAGCTGCTGCCGCTGCTCCTGTTCCTTCTGCTGCAAAGGCTTTTCCCGCTGAAGCCGTGTCACCAGATGCAGCTGCTGCAACAGCTGCAGCAGCGGCAGTGCTGTTAGGGCCCCATTCTTCTGCCCAGGACACGTTCACTCGCTCCTGAACCATCAGGTTGCGAGTCAGAACGGTGCGCGTTCCCATCATTGTCTTGTCATCTAGTGCCGGAATGGATGGCAGGTGGTCGGGCAGATGGGACGGGACGCCGCCCAGGCCCCACGCAGGCCAGACCCAGTCGGAGGGGCGGCGTTCGTTGGTGTCTAGTGACTCCTCGACCACCACGGAGGTGCGAAACGCCCCGTCTTGTTCGAACCCCACCATGCTGCCGAGACGAGCTGTGGGGGCTGGAGGGGAAAAAGCAAACAGAGCAGATGCGAGCAGGAAGATTCATTACACGATGGCTGACGCATCCGCTTTCATTTTGAGAGAGGAGCTGAGATGTTGTATCAGCAGCAAAGGGCGCTTACTGTGGGAGAAGAAAAATTCCACCAGGAGTGGCAGCTTGATGCCGCCTTCCCCATCGGCAATCTCCAGAGGCGCCCAGATGGCGTCGGCCTTCCTGCTCACGACGTAGCGGCGCGCGTTGCTGTTTGCCACGTGGCAGAATCCGTCTGGCAGGCTGTGCTCTGCCAGGGACATGTCCCATTGGACGCCCACCCTGGGCGGCTGCTTGGAAACTTCGCCCTGGTGGTCGTACCAGTCGTTCTGACGAAGGGCAGGGGAGGGAGAGTGCGAGGGGAGAGTGTGAGGGGAGAGTGTGAGGGGAGAGTGTGAAGGGTGAGTGTAAGGGGAGAGTGCGAGGGGAGAGTGTGAGGGGAGAGTGAAGAGGGACTGTTAGGGTGACATTTGAGACGACTTAAAATCTTGACTCCCGCCCTGGGCGGCAGAAAGCGGAACATGGGCTTGCGTCAGGGTGTGTGGAAAATCGACCAAGAGAAAGGAGAATGAGCACTAGGCGAGGAGGAAAAAGGGGGGAGAGGGAGAGGAGGGGGGGGGGGGGGAGGGGAGAAGGGGAGACGGAGAGGGGTAGGAGAGGAAGGGTCTGAGAATCACCATGTGGGCGAAGCTGCTGAGATCGGGTGACGTGGCCCATATTTTCCGCACGGATTTCATGGATCTGATCTCGTCCGTTGATGTGAACGGCTTCCACGATCGCCACTGGCCGTGCCAGTTACCCATGAGGTATTCGGGTGTGCCCCACCACCAGTGCTCCTCCGGACTCATCTGCCGGAATGGCGCCGTTTCTCCGCCGTCAGATGTCATTGCTGATGCTGACGTGGACGGTGCTGACGCGGAAGGTGCTGACGTGGACGGGCCGGTGTGGGGGTTCACAGAGCAGAACACCGGTACAGCAGGTGATGCGCCGCGTTTACCTGAAACGGGAAGTTGACGAGGTACAGTGCAGATTCGATGCAATTAACGTTCTGGCATCTCATATTCCAAGTTCTTGCAAGGTGAATGAATGGGAAACGTCGACTGAAAAGTATCTACCTATCAGACTCGCGCTCTTGGCGGCGCCCTCGGAGTAGGTAGTAGTAGACGCGACGGCTGCAGTGCTGATAATCGACATGCTTTGGATTGAGTCGCAGCGGCTGACGGGGACAGCAACTCAATGGCTTGTGATAGTGCCTACTGTGGAGGCTTGTGACGGAATCCGGGAAATAGCTTGATACTGTAGAAATGCTTCTCCTCCTCCTTGGAGGATGATTCGCATATGTTCTTGGGAGTTGCTGCTCCGCACGTGCGCTGCGCTCCTGTCTGGAGCTTATCGAAGCTCCGCCAATGGTATTTAGACTTGTGGATTTCGAACGAAGCTGCTGGAGAACCCATCTTTTCGAGCTCCTGAAAACCCTGTTCGATCGAGACGACAAGAACATGCGAAACGACTTAATCCGACGGCTGTAAAGCATGGACGACGCAAGGGAAAACATGCAAATGTGGGCGACTCTTTCCATCGAACCCCCTTTTCGGCGGCGACCCTGCCTTGGCAACAGGTTGGCTCGCAACCGTCGTCGTCGTCGCTAAGGGCGTGTTACATTTTCTTCGAGGCCCTTTTGTCTGGACGACGCTCCGTCGATGGTACGGATCATCTCGTACAGGCTGTCCGAGGCTCACGTCCGGAACAAGCCTCGTCCGAACGTCTGGAAGTGGAACAATTTTGAGTTTCGAAATTCAAAATTGTGAACACTCTGTAACACAATACCCGCCTGGTCGCAATTTTCGCCCACCACAAATGTGCGCCTCGACAACTCGAGTGCTTGCCACTCCTGGTTCACGGACAACTCCTCCGAAGCGTGGTTGTCGGGGGAAGGTTGGGAGTCGTCACCAACGCTAGAGAAACCCATCGTTGCCTATGATGTCGTCCGGATTGATGCCTGTTTTGTGTAGTGGATTCACATTGTTTCGTTCGATTGTTGTTGGAAATGCGGCTCGGCTATTTCTCTCTCAACTGATGCTTCGAGAGAATTGCGCCAAACAAGTGCTCAATGTCCCGTGGATCTTGGAGGAACTTCTTGGCCGAAAATGTGCCACGCTGGATTTTGTTCTTCCTGAATCAGTCATTCTGGTGGCCTCAGTTGAGGTACTGGGTTCAACATTGAAATGCGCCCCGGCGATCTGTGAAACGCGTGATAGGTTTTGAGCGGCTAGACAGCTGATTGGCGGATTCCATTTTCGTTTTAGAATTTCGCCCGCCAATCAACACGCGGTTCGTTCTGCTTGTCCACCTGACGGACAGCATGCATCCGGACCAGCGTCTATGCGGGGAGCACTGAAATAGTTCCATCCTCGGTACAGACGCATGCGACGTCGCATGCTGATATGCGAGATGCCATCCGAAATCAAGCGAAACTAGTTACCAGCAAATTGTTCGGACGGTCAATGGGACGGACGACGTAAGGCAAAAAATGTAACACGCCCTAAGCGACAGAAGGCATCCTGCATGGTGGCCAGGTGTCAGATCGAGATTCGAGATTCGGGGATTGGGGGTCGATGCAGTCTATGCTGTGTTCGCCGTCCTGCTAAGTGCCGATGAGAAGCAGCATTGAGTGCTGTTCCAACGGCAGCGGATTTCTTGATTGCACAGACCCCATTCAGCAGATGGCCTTCAGACCAGGGCTGTCGATTCAAGGGCATTTGCCCTTAATGCCCTGAACATTCCGGGCGAACTCACGGCCAGCTTCGGCATTTCAAAGGGTTGGTTTCGAGGGAAGCTCGTTTTTCTTACGGGCTGGTTTTGAGAAATGGGGGTCCTAGCCCGGATCCGTTAAGGGCTGGTTCGGGGCCTTTCCCTGATTTCCCGGATCAGGAGTAGAGTAGCCCTGAGAGTTGCCCAATTTGCCACTCTTATCCTCCCACTCTCATCCTCCCTGTATCTCCCACAAGCTATCTACTTAGGCACGAAAGGACTTTCTTGTGTTGATGTTATGGCTGTAGTTGCAAAATATTTTCAAGTCAATTCGTCTCCTCACAGATCCAAGTACTCACACTGGACTCGCGACACTGACACCCTACGAGGCCAAGAGGAAATTGCCCCATCAGATCACACTAGTAGTACTACATGAAAAACGACCACCTCGGAAGTGCTTTGCGATTGTACACACGAGTTTAAGCGACTTCTTTGCTGACGATGTTTTGCCCTACGACCCCTCTCCTCCCCCCCCCCACCCTACTTCCCCCCTCGCTGTAGGTATGCAGATGAGTCGTTAGCATACTCCTTCTCGCTGCTAAGTAATAGGTTGAAGCCCGGATGTCAAGTTTTGTGCCATTACGGCTGACGTACATTTTTGTAGGAAGCCCGGATGTCAAGTTTTGAATTTGACCTGCGCCCGTGATCGTTAAGGGCTAAAAAATGGTCACCTTTGCGAAAATCAGGGCCAAACTTCGAACAGCTCATAACTCAAAGTGTTGGTCCCAGGGACTTCGACAGGCCTGCTTCAGACCCATTCTCGCATTCAGAGTTGCTGCTTGATCCTTGAAACTGTGACGTTTCTGACACGCAAAACAACCCCACTGAAGCGCAATCTGATAAACGTTTCTGACAGCTCCTGTCGGAACAACGACGGACGGGGGATTACACAGCTAGGGCGCATCCCTTCTTGTTCTTGAAAATACCAATTTATATTACCTTACTTTGTGTGACTTGTCAGTAAAGCTACACTGTGAGATCCCCGATCGATCCTAGGGGGGGTTACAGGCGCGTTTGCCTGGGGGGTTATGGGCGCACTGACCCGCTACTAAAACAAGCCCTTTTATCCCAATGGTCTAGTGGTTGGGATTCTGACATGGTATCAGAGCGGTCTCGGGTTTGAATCCCGGTGTATGCACATGTTGGCCGTTGCCACTGTGCTCAGTCCTGGGCCTCCCAGTGTGGGGGGGTGTCAGTAGAGCTACACTATGAGATCGCCGATCGATCCTAGGGGGGGTTACAGGCGCGTTTGCCTAGGGGGTTATGGGCGCACTGACCCGCTACTAAAACAAGCCCTTTTATCCCAATGGTCTAGTGGTTGGGATTCTGACATGATTTCAGTGAGTACAACAATGTTCATCAAATTTGAATTGAATGTGGACAAAACTACATGCAACCCATCACCTACGGTCTCTTGAACTCCTAACGCTTGAGACCAACGATCGGATACACGATAAGGAGTTGCTCAGCACGCCATTGTGGACGGCGAGTTCAATGTCTTACCTGACGGGTACAAACAGATCATCGTGCACTGCAATAACTTCCATCTCACCTGAACCCATAACAGTCTCGCTGGTTGAACATTACAAGGTCCATTTTTCACCGTGTGTGTCACGCATATCCTGTACACTATACATACGGTACATGTATATGATGGCATTTTTGTAGAATGAATACATGAATACAAGGATATATAGAGATACTCTTGGCAATGTACCTGCTCGCTGTTAGACTGGGCCTTACGCGCGGGTTGACGTATGGTAGTCCCGTTGAGAGTTTCCAACTCGGGGGCCATGCAGCTGGAGCGTGGAAGTTGTCAGAACATTATAGCTTATGCTTTTGTGTAGGCTGTAGTGGGGTATCCCATAGGGGGTACAACCCAATTAGGGTTAGTACTTGTACCCACTTCATTCATAGTTCATTCATTCTCGTTTCAGTTTTCTCATGGTATCGAGCAGGTTCCCTGGTGGGAACTGTTCCTAGGGCCCTACTAATGCTTCCGCTGCTACTCGATCTGTCGCACGCCCCGTGGCGTGCGACCTATTGGCGCGCGGCGATTTTCTTTCTGGCGCGCGCCCCGAGGCGCGCGGCCCCGCTACCCCGTCGCGCCGCCCTAGCGGCCGCGTCGCGCCGCCCTCGCGGCCCCGATCTGCCGCCCTAGTGGCCTCGTCACCTACCTCTGCGGCCTCAGCGCCGCCCTTCCCGGCCCCGGCTCCGCCCTTCCCGGCCCCGGCGCCACCTCGGCTGGCCCCGTCGCCTACCCCGGCGACCCCGACGCCGCCCTTCCCGACCCGGCCCCGCCTTTGCTGGCCCCGTCGCCTGCCCCTGCGGCCCCGGCTCCGCCCTTCCAGGCCCCGGCGCCACCTCGGTTGGCCCCGTCGCCTACCCCGGCGACCCCAACGCCGCTCTTCCCGACCCGGCCCCGCCTCTACTGGCCCCGTCGCCTACCCCTGCGGCCCCGGCGCCGCCGAGCTAGTGCCGAGCCACCCGAGCCACCCGAGCTGCCCGAGCCGCCCGAGCCGCAGCGCCACCTCCGCCGCCCGCACCGCCGAGTCGCCGAGTCGTCGAGCCTGCTCTTCCCACCACTGGTGAGCCCCTGCCTTACAAGCGCGCTGCCTGCCGCTTGCTTGGCTGCCTGCCTTACTGCTGCTACTCCTGCTCCTGCTTCTACTGGCGGAGCCAGATGCAGCCCCAGCGACGTCCACGTGAGTCCCTCACGCCCCAGCAGCTGCGTGAGTGGTACGCTGGTTGGGGTTGTAGGGGTGGTGGCGCTACTACTACTACTACTACTACTGGCGGCGGCCAGATGCAGCTCCAGCGACCCCCACGCGCGTCTCTCACGCCCCAGCAGCTTCGTGAGTGGTACGCTCAGAGTGGAGGGTCTCTCAGTTCTGTTCGCTGCTCTTACGTGATTCGCACTGGTGCT